TCTGATTATGGTCTGATTACAAAGAGTGAGAATCCATCATTTCAAAGTAATTTAATTTTAGTTAATTTTGAATTTGATTTAATTTAAAATGTTACTTAATAACGCTTTGCAATGAAACGACGATATATAATTTATGTAATGTATAGTTTGAATTCTTAGTTGAATTATATTGTTTAGGTCATAGAGGTAGAAAATGAGAGGTCATAAGCTATAGAAAATGACTCCTACTCAGTTTATGAATGACACCAGGTTCATATTTTTTTTTTTTTGCTGAATAGAATATCGAATCTTATTGGAGGAGGATTCTCATCGAAAGTCAAAATTATATTCATCCCTAGAATCATAGACCGGCATATTAATGAAGGAGCGCGAAGAATTCTTGAAGAGTAGTTATTTATATATTTTAGCCGATATAGAAAAGAATGATTGAATAGTAAACTTACTATGCGCGTGACGTAGGCCTGATAGGCTCCATAAATGGCTGCCAATAAATATTCACTCTCCTACTGGTAAAAAAAAATAAATTAAGTTACACGCGGAATATAAATTTGAAGGATGAATAAAGATTCACGGAGAGTGTTGAATTCATTTCCGCTGATTTGTGATTCCGATATACCATGCTAAGAAGAAAAGTATTCCACATGCTTTGCCAGTCTGTATTCTAGTCACATACGGTCCAGCAGTTGCTTTACAGATCAGATGGGCTTAAGTGTTACTTAAGCACCTCTTATTTCTTACTTAGACCTCAAGCTTTGATCTTGATGAGTCTAATTAGTAAAATTGTTGTTTATAAATGTTGATTCTGGAATGAGTAATGCAAGAACATCGTACCCGACAGGCCATAAGATTAAGAGGTATTTTATTATAAATATTTAAGCATGTAGTTTTTTTAATATAAAATTCGGATATAAAATTGGAGATCCCTTTGCGGTTCCAAAGCTCTTATTAAAGTTTCCAAGAACGAAGAATAACGTAAGACCAATAAATCAAAAATGAAGTTGTTGCTCTCCAAGTATTTAATTTTGTCCCTACCTCATAAATCACCCTCTATCTGACGTCAAAGCTGCACGACGTCATACCAGACAAGTATTAAATGTGTGTTGAATTATCATGGACTCAGAAAGGGTTGGCTTATGACATGAATAGTTTTTTGTTTAGAAGTGAAAACCTTATGTGTAAAGCTTATTCGGGTAAAGTCGACTATTTGAAGTGTTTTTGCATATGCCTTAAAATATCTTAGAGCGTTAAAATCGGACTTGCATACTGTAGGCGAGGGAAATATTCAGCATTTCATCATCTTTGTGAGCTATAAATAAAAATTTTATTTTGACGTTATACCGATTCAGAGATTCGGAAAGGGAAAACGATAGCGCCAAAAAATCAAATAAGAACGGCTGTTTCGTACATTTGGAATAAAATATTTCAAAATTTGAATACTGGTTTGCGGAAGTCAATATAGATTTTTTTTTTAATTAGTCCGTAAAAAATAAGAAATAAGTAATTAGGTCTTTCTATTCGATTTTTTGTTGCGCTCGATAGAGTTTTGACAAATACTGATCCCCTTACAGAAGTTATACTAAAAAAGTTGATATTCATTTTTCGCACCCCTGCCTAAAACACCATTAGATATTAAAACTGTGAAATATATATTTAAATATTAAGGAAATTTTCCTTGCATTCGAAAAATAAATGTATTTTGCTTTCCTGATATCAACTATAAATCTATAAAGATAGATTAGGTGATAAATATTCAAGACGCAGTCATTTAAAAAAAAAAAAAAAAAATTAAATTTTTTATTTGTGCCAACGTTTCAACCCAAACATGTGGGTCAACTTCAGGGCTGAAAATTTTAAAATACAATCAGAGATATAATATTATACTACACATAATGGCAAATAATAAACTATATTGATTGATGGTACATGAATCTTAACTAATATTACAATACCAATATTAAAAATCAAATATGTAAATAGTTATACAAACTAAGAATAATGTATATAATCCATTTATACAAATATGTAATATTTTCTCTTACTAATTGTGGTTTGAGCACTGAGGGTGTTCGAGTACTGACACATTTGGTAGGTAAGTGAAAAGGTCTGGGAGAGAATATTATCGGAACCATTATCGGTCGTATAATATTATATCTCTGATTGTATTTTAAAATTTTCAGCCCTGAATATGATCCACATGTTTGGGTTGAAACGTTGGCACAAATAAAAAAATATTAAAAAAAAAACAAAAAAAAAAAAACTGCCTCGTGAATATTTATCACCCATGGAGGGATCTTATAATACCTATTAATATAAGGCAGAATATTGACAAAAAAATTCTATTTTTCTATTGCAATGGAAATTCATATTTAAGGGTTCATTGAAATCTGCCAACCCACGTCAGTAACCTCTCCTTGTAAATAACAAGATCCTAAACTGAAGTAAATAAATGGTAAAGATTGTTGTAGATTATCGTAGATGGGGATTGGTTGTCATAAGGAAGATGTATAATATACGTAATTATGGTTATACGTAATTATAATCCTACAGATCATAAGGAATTCAATTTTAAGAACGTCATCAATACCGTCGCGACGATCTTAATTATAGTATGTTGTATAAACGAATACAAATATTTCGCCTCACTTATACGTCGAATATTTTAGAGAGAATGATAGCTTACTAATATGAACGTTCTGTCTGGAGTATGCTAGTTTGTTTTGATCCGACGAAGCTTAGAAATCACTGAAAGTTTACAATAATATTTGAGCGAGATGATTGAGCAGTATTTGGTCGGTGCATTGGATAAGAAACGGCTGTCTAAATATTGACTCTCAACCCCTTGTCCTGGAGTTCATCTATCTTATCTTCTACATTTACTCTGTAAGAAGCAATTATTTTTTTTATTCTATTGATCCATTGAGTAATTAAACTGTTATCCAACACGGCCATTTCTAAATTAGTGAAATTGTTGTTTATAAATGTTGATTCTGGAATAAGGAAGGTAAGAACATTGTATCCGATAGGTCATAAGGTTAAGAGGCATTTTATTATTAATATTTAAGCATGTAGTTTTTTTTAAATATAAAATTCAAATATTAAACTGGTGATCTCTTTGTGGTTCCAAAGCTCTTAATAAAATTTCAAAGAACGAAGAATAACGTAAGACCGATAAATCAAAAATGTAGTTGTTGCCGCAAGTATTTAATTTTGTCCCCATCTCATAAATCACCCTCTATCTGACGTCAAAGCTGCACCATACGTAATACCAGACAACAAGTATTAAATGTGTGTTGAATTATCACGGACTCAGAAAGGGTTGGCTTATGTTATGAATAGTTTTTTGTTTAGAAGTGAAAATATATTTAGCCGCGTTTTGCACGTTATTTTCGGATGTGTAAAGCTTATTCGGTGCATATGGATTGAAATATCTCAGAATATTAAAATCGGACATCTTATCTTCTACATTTACTCTGTAAGAAGAAATTTTTTTTTTATTCCATTGATCAATTGAATAATTAAACTGTTATTCAACCCGGCCATTTCTAAATTTAAAAATCATCTGTTCTTTTTTGTTATAACTTATATGGTTATTCGAAGAAACAAATAATTTTATTCCTTTGTATGTATCAATGGAATTGCAGTAAATTCTGTCCCTGCATATCCACTTAAAATTACTTTATCGGATCTGTATAATATTAAACATAAAAATATGTTCAAATCAGAGAAAGGTTCCAAAATAAATCAAGGCATTTTACAGTCTCTAGTTTTTCTAAGAGCAATGATTTCGGAACAGATCGACAATGCGGAAGAAGCCTATTTAGGTAATTGGAATTCATTCTTAATTCTCTCTCCAGTTTTAAAATAAAATTGGTATCTTTGATTATTATCATATGAGGAGCATATTAAGGTGATGACTTTAGGACACTCCTAGGACAGGTATTGAGTGATATTTTCATTTAGAATAAAGGAATTTAAAATAGTCATATAACATGTATTTTAACAAAGTTCTTTAATTATTTAAGGTTGATTTATACAGATATACAGTGAAATGGCATTTAAGCGTAATAATACTTTAATTATATAATCTAAGGACAGTTTTCTAAATCATTACATATTATCTTAATTTAACCTAACGTAAACTTGCTTCAGGGTATTACTTTATACGCGGTTAATATAAAGTAATACCCTGATATATATATATATATATATATATATATATATATATATATATATATATATATATATATATATATATATATATATACTGTCCATCCACACCTATCTGTTTCCCCTCTACTACTCAATTTATTCCTTCATTCTTCATTGACATTTATTCTGAAATTCGTGACTAGATCAGAATGAGGTATAGGACAATGTTTGGCAATCGTGACTATTTAGAGGCATTCTTTTGGTAATGAATTCTATTTAGTCTTAGATTAAACTGGTTTTGTTTGGATTAGTGTTATTACATACTTACTTTTTTCCACGACCAGTCTGCAAAAAAAGACGTAGTCAAGGGTGGCACAATTGATTTAAGGATGGAAGGGTAGTTCGTAATTAGTTATGTTTCAGAATGTTGGAATACTAACACCCAACTTTTTGCTGTTAATCAATTTTCTGAAATTCCATTCTTATATTATTGCTACTTTACTATATATTTTTTTCAAGTAGGAAGGTACAACGGTGGGTCTACCTTATTCCCCTCTGAAATTTTAATCCATTAATTAGCAAATACTCTGTACTTGAATTGAAAGAAGTCCCTAAACTCAGCGCTAAATTCGTCCATGTCATCGGAAATCCTTCACACCGTTTCTACAAAACTCAACATGTATCGGTACTATTCATCGGTGCAGGATTGATGGGACCCAGCAATAGTATTAGTGAGTTTAGGAACTTGCTTATACTGTATCACATGTATCTTCGACATTGACCATTACTGATATAAATGCTGCCGTTAAACAATGAAAATGAATTAGGCTGATATGAAATATACCTCCTACCTTGCTATAGTAGAAGGGCTTGGCTAGAGCGAAGAAGCGCTCGACGGCCATGACACAAACTATGCAGCCGGATCCGAGCCCGAAGGCCCTCCAGAGGACCCTGACCAAGCACAGCGTTCTTGTCCTGGCCAGCGAGGGGTAATAGATGCCGATGTACATCTGGATACCCATACCCACCACTGCCGTCAGGTCGTTGGAGAGCAGCAGAGTCAGCAGCAGTGAGTACCGCGGGTTCCTTGTCTTGGACCTGCGTCAAAAACAGCAACATCACAACATGGATCCTTTCAATATATATTTATGCTGTTTTGGACGACTTAGGTCCTGGCAAAGGCATTAAATTCAAATAAATGTGAGTGAGAGATAAATTCCCAAAACCCGGCTATTTTTGTCATTTTCAAGCTTCAAAAATAATCATATATAATATGGAAGATCCATATGCAACCTTATAATAAAAACCGTATAATAACAATAAAAGGTTAGCGAATCCGATGATGATACCTGTAATCGTTGCCTACAAATATTCTTCCATTGAATTCTATGGTCGACTCGTCCTTCTTCGGTACAAATAAACTACTTAATGCTTTAGTTTCAAAAACCTTAAGACATTGCTCATCGCTTTAAATAAGCAGCCATGTTTCGCATTCATAAAGAATCATAGGAAGTACAACAGATTTGTAAATTCTTGTAAAATAATATTTTAAGTTGCGTGAAAGGAGGCGCGAGCTAAGTAGTTTTAGTTTTGTCACAGAAAAATAAATAGTATTTAACACCTTCAGCTTAGCTATGATCATCTTCAATTTCTTTTTTTCTTATCATCGTATACCCAAGATACCTAAACTTCTCTACGTGTTCAAACGTATCTTCCTCTATATCTATATCACCGAAATCCTCACAGGGTTTGCTGCTAACGATATATTTTGTCTTGTACGAATTGATTTCGAGCCCCCTATTCTTTGCACGCTTACATCAACCTTTTCTTGTTTAGTTTTATTATCCCCGTGTCTTTGCTTGACAATACCAAATCGTCAGCACAACCCAGCACCGATATTGTTCGACCAAGATTAAAACCTTTACAAACCAACCTTCGGTGCGTATCACCTCTCTAATTACATGTTCTAATGATAAATTGAATACAACGGGTGAATGGGAATCGCCTTGTTTTAAACATGAACGAACCTCAAATTTTTCGAATAAATAATTACCCATTACTAACTTTATTGATGTTTCAGTCATTCACATCATTACTAGATTTTCTGACATTGTTAATTCCCTCTGCTTGATCGGAATATTGTACTGATTTTGCCGGTGAATGGAGTTATAAACCTTGAAATTTATTATATTGGTTAATATATTACAAAACCACAATCACTACTGTGTGTAAAAAAAAAAGATTGAAAATAACAAAAATAGCCTCTTACTAGTAATAAATTCCTATTTGTTAAAATTAATATAAAAAATATTTTTCAACTTGTGATATAAATGGGTACAAGTTATCCAGTTGTAGAAACATTGATCAAAATATTAAGACTTCAGCAATGGTTCGATACATGTATATATGCTAACATACTCTTCTAAAAAATAAAATATGAACTAACAACAAAATATTAAATTTGTAATCCCAATTAATAAGTGGTTAATTTCAAAGTTTTTAAGTACGATTATTCTAGTCTTTTTTAAAGATCTTTTGTTTTCAAATTGCGGCATTTCTCTATATGTGTATAACTTATCACATATTTTTGATCTCACTTATTTAACGTCCAGTCGACCACTTATTCTTTGACCCAGAAGTATAAAAAGTCTCTAGGGATGATTTAGATGTAATTAAAATAATAATAATAATAATAATAATAGATAAGTTACCTGGGATGAAGAATGTACCACAAGGCCGCCGAATTGCCCAATATTCCCAACACATAGATGAAGGTTATTAAAGCCTGCATCGTGAGGGAGATATGCGGCGCATGGACAGCGGTCACTGTCTCATTACTCATCTGGAAACATAAGAAGCTCCAATAAGTACCAAGTTTTATTCAATTATTATATTATATTATAAAAAAGATTTCATATATTATATATTTATAATATTATAATATTATAAATATTATATATTATATTTAATCACGTTATAACAGTACTGTAACGGTATCTCCATAGGGGCCTGAGTTACAGACTTATTTTTATTAAATTATTAACATCCGTCTAAAACTTCGCGAATGGCTTAATCTTATCGTAACTTACAACTTTTTTATTTACTAAAAATCTCGGAAAGGAGACGTTTTCAATCCAAAGATCGGTAAACATTGTCTGTTTAATGAAATTCTAACAACTCATAAGCACCTATTTGTTTTCCCCTTGAATCGTAAGATGATTTGATCACATAATCGAGAACATGTTAAAATTACGTTATATAGGCCAAACTGCTCTTATTAAAGTATCTAGAAAGTATCTCATTAAATGAATTAATTTTTGAGATGATTATTGATGATTTCGTAGATACAAAAGTTATAGGTTACTATAATATGAAACCATTCACGAAGTTTTAGATGAATGTTAATAGTTTAATAAAAAGGAGTTGTTAGGGGTACCTCGGACGGTGTGACTATTAATCACCGTAATTCGCTTAGTTTTCCTATGGACTTGACAAACAATTTAAGTTTGTTCGACATTATTTCGCTAACATTAACCTTATAAAACGCTATTATTTGTACTGATATGGATATGATATGAGGAAGAAGTATTGACATCTTTAAGGGGAAAATCCTCCGCAAAATTACCAGAGAAATTTCCAGAGTGATAAGAGTGCTATCGCATGGAGCAGAAGGACCAATTAATAACTGCTTATAGAAACTAATCAAGCATTATCTCTTGATATGAAGACAAGGAGGTTAAGGTGAGCGGGGCTTGTAGCTCGTAGCAATCTACCTGGAAGTCTCTACACACAAATGAATGCCGTAATTATAGGCAAGATACCACGTGGAAGTTGAAAAACCAAATGGATACTCGTAGATCGAATAAACAAAGACACAAAAGAGGTACTTGTGGAATACTGGAAAGAAACAAGATTAGGCAGACAGAGAAGACTGATTAAAGCAGCCAAAGTGCTAAAAGGTCTGTAAATCCTACACAAAACAAGAACAAAACACTATTCTAGTAAGAGTTGATATTATAAAGCTGTTCAAAATGTTTTAATTATGATCAACATGAAAAGAGTTGATGTTGATGAATTTGATCCATGTTTTGGTAAAATGAACGTCGTCATAGTAAAATGTATTATCGACATGGAATGGTGTAAATATTATGTAGTGCAGTTTCTGCATACTGTAATATCTGTCATTCTTCTATCAGTTGTCCACTATTAAAAATGTTTATGTGCAATAACGTTTCTTCTTTTTTTTTTCTTTCACCGTTTTTGTAGAGCTATTGAATTTTGATAGTCATGCTTATTCTCCTTCTTGTGCGTTAAAACAGTACCTTATTCTGTAAATAGCTATGTTTATTAGGTAGGACAAATGCGTTAATAAGTGATTAATATTTCATAACTGGTAGATTCATCAAACCAAGTAGGAGGAAATTTCTTTTATTGTATTACTGCATGCTGACGTCCCAGTTTCTGAGTTTACACTTTATAAATTAAGTTGTGAAGATAAGGCAAAAAAGAAGAACTGATAAGAAGCTGTAAATTTCTTTGCATGACTACATTAAAGTACCAGCCTTTTAAAATAAGGACCCTCGAAAGAATTAAAGGGGTCATGTAAACATATGATTCCTATCTGTGTTAGTTATTCTTTGTAAATCTCAGCGATGCAATTGATTTATAAATACTGTAGACGTTTTCTACTGTACAATTAGCTTTTAATTATAATTTCGCAATAAAAACACTCTTGTCACACCGACCAAATGTGGAACGAACTCCACCTCACACTCATAATGAGAATCCCGGTAAAAGATTTGTAAAAATAGAGGAGATTGATTTGCAGAACACCCCGTTCATTAACTTCCAGTTAGACCTGTAATGATTTATTTCGTGATGATTATAAGGAATAAATATTGACTGTCTCACTCTTGATTAGTGTAGGTAGGAGAGGAGCAAATTTTATGGATCTGTTAGAATTTCACAAAAAAGAAAGATAAGCACACTTGCAGAACCCCGTTTTCTATCAATAACAGTACTAATACTATTACGTATCATATTATTATAATAGCTGAACCATGTATACCATTACAATCCTTGAAAGATCTTGGGTTCAGTACAATGTAAGGAAGTATTGTTTCTTGGACAACGGCTGTGCAAGGAGATGATTTAATCGAGATCATGCTAAACTACGAGATTATACCATTTAATTAACCATAGCTGATAAAACAGAATAAATAATTATCTGCCATCAGCCGGTTTCGAACCTAGGACTCCTTATGAATTCACAAAAGCAATATTTTTCCACAAAGGGGGAGATAACACGGCTCTCATTAGTTGCTTTGTTCATTAATACTGGCATAATGGCTATCTAGATTATCATTTGTCTCATTCAATATTACTTATAGATTATATTTTATATGAATAGCACTCATTGTTTTAAAGATAAATAATTAAAGATAATATTAAAATGGATGGAACTTTATGTATTTGACTAGACAGTCGATATGATACCGTAGGATCACGAGCATTGGCTTATCAACACGATCAGGACGGAAGAACTCCTACTTCACAACCCTCTTCATTATTAAAAAGAACAGCTCAACTAAACCTTCACAGTTACAATATTTTACTCACGGGCTGTGGGCTGTTGTTGCGACATTATGCTTTTGGAAGTATATTTTCGGAAGAGTTGAGATCTTGTCTGAGTTCATTTAGCTCCTTTAAGAAAAAAAGGCTCGATTTAGAAAACCTTGAGAAAAGGCCAATGCGTAAAAATAACATTACTCTTAATGTTTCTGATCTTGATATAAACGTGGTTAGTTGTGTATCCACCTCGTTCGGTAGACTCTGCTAGACTAAGTTACCATTCTTTTCTTAACAAAACCTCTGCTCTAGCTACCTAAACTTATCCTATTTCCATTACAAGAAAAGTAACTTGTGCCGGATTAAAAATATGCCTTGGTAAAAAAGAAAAACTGTACCAAAAAAAAAGCCAAACTTTTTGGAGGATCTTAGGTTCAGTACGGTAGTAGTCAATACAGTAGTTAGGAAGTATTGTTTCTTAGTCAACGTTTTTGCAAGATCGTTTCACCGAGATCAACCGCCAGGTTTTTCTTCTTAATTAATTATTTCATTAAGAGTACCAACGTTATGAAGGCTACCCCGACCCTCGAATTCCGTGAACCCAAGTACAGCACTGTGCCTTACCCATTAACCTACTGCCTTCCTAACCTTCTTTATTATTTTTTTCTCCTATTTCTGGCCTTTGAGTCTATACGGGGTTTTCCCGGACCAGGGTGTGGAGGGAGGGATTAATGCAAGAGCTAAAAGTCCCCCTCCCCTCCCTCCCTCGGACTCCAGGACGCGAACTCGTGGTTATTTTATCTTCTATAAACTCAGTTATCAGACTGTTGGGCAACACGTGGTGCTGTGCACACCCGTTAGCCCGCACGGCCTCCCCCCCCTTCTTTATTATTGTTAAAAATTATTCCAAAAATATCCTCACATTACCAAATAGTTCATAGCGACCATTGATTTTTATGAATATCTTCTTCTCATTTCCCTATACTCTGTCATAGTATAAAGAATCAACAACTATCTACCGTTCCTGATGCTTGCCAACGTCCTGAAACATACTTTTTAATGTTTCAACCTAAGAATGTATACAACCTAAGAAATCCAATCATACCTCGACACTTCTCCAAAATGTTAACAGTATCTTTTGTTTCATTCCTTGTCTTTATTCCTTCTTATTGTAATAAATCGGAGATAAGCTTAAAACCAATATTTCAACACAAATAAACAACTTTCCGTAAACCTACCACCTCTTTAATCCCTCAACATGCGACGTCACTGAATATCTTATACTAATCTCATTTATTGTTTGTGATGAAAATCTGGTTGTGAGTGTGCATGCTGAATCACCTTTTGTTATAATCTTGATCAAGAATCTATACATCCTTATGGGATAAAAAAAATCTTTTCTGGATCAATATGGACATAGTACAACTAATAACTACTAGAAGATAAAACAATTTTTATAATAGACTATTTTAGACGCAGTGTTGTTTGAGTGCAGTGTGGATTGATGTAATTTGATGAGTGTAGTCCATTATATCGATTATCTCCCTAGCTTCCTGTGAATAGTCAATAGCCGAGAGCATTGGCTTTGCCTATTGCTGACTAGAGTATTTAACTCCTTGTCACGTGTTCAGTTGTGCTTTAATTAAATGGAGACCTCATTGAACCCAGCGAAATTGCTCAGTTCTTCCGAACTTAATAAGAAGGAAATTTTCTCTCTTCCTTACTAATCTTCTCTACCCACACTATTCTTTTCAAGCTGAGAATATCAATCAAGAATTATTGATTTTGTTAAGTATAACGAATACATAATATGAATATACATTTATATATTATAGGTATACATAGCCTTAATATCACGATAGGCCCATTTCCGAACTAGTTCCTCCCACCAGTACCAGTACCAGTAACTTTAATACTGAAAACATTTTTTTATAAAAGCTAAGGTTGCGACGACCATCTCTGTTCCTTCTACCTTCTTGACTCCAATATTTAATTCAGTTTAAATCTTAAAAGGAGTTCTTGCTATCGTTGGGTTTACAATTTATTGTTGAGCATTAAATGCGATGAGAGGTTAAACAAACAGATTTAAAAATGCACTCAAATACGCGTTAAACATTAATCTATCGTATTTTTAATCCATATAAAAAACAGAGGTGCTCAATTCGCCTTCATCTTTTAAATATAAATATATTCAGAACTTTGCCATTATTAAACCGATTTCTGTGATTTTTTTTTTTAATCAAGAATTATAGCTTCGGTAGTCTCATATAACTT